ATCATGCCTTAGACAACTCGGATTTGTGAACCGATTGTTCATACAACTCGTGGTCGTCCCTTATTGAAGAGTAAGGTTGTAAAAAAAAAAAAGTCGTGTCGACCCACCAACTAAAGAACCTCATAGGTATAGTTTTGTCCAAACGAACCAACATTTGTGGAGTTTGATGTTTTGGCAAACAATGAATAAGCGAGACATAGTTCATACTTCGACCAAAAAAATATGCACATCCATACATTAACCAATTTTCAAGTATTTTTCATCCTTACTTCGTACAGGTACATAACGTAGTTCATGCAAATTTTATTTATTTAACTCAATTTATTAATCAATTTTTAAATAATTTTCATCTTTACATCACACAAATACAAGATGTAAATGATGATGAAAACTGTGGATTTCGAGCGATAACCGTTTGTCTCAGTCGCCACGAAAATGAATGACCATTTATTCGATATGATTTAATGGAAGAGTTAAACATGTACAAGACATAATATCTCGAGGGGTATGGCATTGAACTATGGCATCGACTTTATAACTCCTTGAACTTTTTTGAGCTGGACTTATTTGCACCAAATGAGCATTGGATGGATGTTTTTGAAACTGGCTTGTTGATTGCTTCAAGATACAATGTGATACTACATTCTTTAACAACTATAGGTAGTCTGACATTCTTCCCACTTCGATCTAGTCCTCCGTCGTGGTATGAACTTGTTGCTTTTACAATTGGATTTCTTTAACGGTAATTATTATGTCAAAATATCTTTGGCAGGAGGGCAGCCGACGCCTTCTATCGTGTCAAATTGGTTTCGTTTCAAATATGAATGTGCAACCGCATGAGCTACTCCGTACATGACTCGAATAAATAAGTACGAGCAATTGTTATCTATTAATCGTACTACATAATTTATTTCATTTGATTGAATTGTAATATTTTCAGACTTTTTATATTTTATTTGTTGATTTATCAATTACCTTATTTTGATGATCTTTTTTGTATTAAATTATTTTATATTTGTAGCTTTAAATATTTTTAAAAAAAATACATATATAAATT